CACTCATGCTAATCAGAGAACCGGGGTTATATCCATAACCTTAAGTTATCTTAAACATCACCCAAAGTTTAAAATGTATCTTTCCCTCAGACTTCCGAGTGAGAAGCAGGGTTCCCTTTTAGTTTCAGAACAGCCAGACGAGAGGTGTAACGATACTTGGTGTAAAAAAACACTGTGAAAGTGTTTTTGCTTTTTCAACAGCTGGTGTTGTCGCAGCTCCTTCATTGAAAATTATGTGGTCACAGGTCACCAAAACCATGGGGAAACTGGACCAAGCAGAAAGGAATAGCCAGATTATCTTCTCAGCTTTCCCTCATGAGAAATCTTTCCTTTATCCAGAACTATAGGAACCATTTGTTGCTGTGTATAAAGCTCATTTAGAGGTACCACAAATTGGAATAGATTACTGTAAATGTTTTGACAGAGCTGAGAAACGATGCAGTTATCTTCTGTGATCCTTTGATGTGAAGCTGCTGTTTCTCAAGTCCCTTTTTATTTCAAAGGAAGCATAATAGATGTGACTTCATGGAATACTTTGCACTGCGTACCATATACAGAATTTTACCGTAAGGACTGTCATAGCCTAAACAGTTGTTTCTTTAATCTGGTGTAGTACTGAATGCAGATATGAGAGAACCTTATTTTTAACTCCTTGCTCATGTTTTATATTTCAATTGAGACGATTACTTTCAGGCCAGGTAGCCACTCTGACTGTAGCTTTGCTCTTATGCTTACATGTAAATAGAAACTGTCACACTTAAAGTATGTGTCATCTTAGAAAGATGTTGCAACTGATCATCTCTTTACAGATTGTAGGGTGGCAAAGTCAGCATCATATGGTCGTCTTCCCTCAGTCCATGGTCGCTCTTCCCCAAGAAGTGGTGGAATGTCCCGCAGGAGCAAGTCTCCTTCGTCTATTAGTTCGGGTAAGTCTGTGGATCTGCACCAAGTCCCAAAGGATACTTGTTATTTAATCCCTAATTTATACATTATTTGCTTACTGAGCTAAATCAGAAATCCCTACATGCATCAACTGTGTTGAAACATTTAGCTGAACTGCTTCTGTTTTTGGTACACAGCTAATGGCACTGCAGGTAGTCAGCTATCCACACCACGATCTGGAAAATCTCCAAGCCCTTCTCCTACAAGTCCCACTAACCTCCGAAGACGACAGGTAAGAGGCTTGGTGTCGTGTGATGGAGGAAAAAAAATCAGACAGCGTCACTGAAAATCCTCTACACTTGCCCAGACATGAATTGGTCAGAAGTTTAATGGTTTTGTCCACTGTAACCTGTTGTTTTTAATGAAAGTTATTAAAGGGATGTTGAATTAACAAAAAATTTGGTAGTTAATTGGAATAAAAAAAATGTCTCATCTTCAGATAATTTCTAATGAAATTCATGCAAACCTGATAATTGTCTTTACTAAACTTATCAGGGGTTACAATAACAAGATCATGCCCTTCAGTATTAAACTACACGTACCCATCAGTTCTTAATTTAAATAACAAAAACTTTTCATTGCTAGTAAGATTGGACATCTGGTGATGGCTCATTGAGAATCTACCAAACATCATATCATCTGTTACCCAGGCTGCCTTATTGTGAGACGTTAGTATTTTTAGATGGGTTCATGGTGGCTGCCCAGTCAGAACATGACTGTGGGAAATGGCCCATTTGATTACCTTGATATTTGGAGTGGATTTCAGCGATCAGTTTAATTGCTTTATAGTTGCTGTTTTGGAGGATATTTTCTCTCTATTTGGAATCTAATGGCAGTCTTTATTCTTGTGGAAAAAAGATGGAATTTTTTCAATAAACTTTTTTTTTTCTGTATTACTTCAAATTCTATGCCCAAGGCAAGCTGAGTGGAAAAAATATGCTGTGTTGGCTTACTCTAATCAGATTTTTACAAGCTTTGTCTTAAGATTTTAAGATACGTTTATCAGTCATTTAATTTTACCTCAGAAGTGTGTCTTCTTTCCAGGGATCTCAACACAGCGGCTCCTCACTCTCATTAGCTTCCACCAAAGTATGCAGCTCAATGGATGAAGGAGATGGGCCTTCTAGTGAAGGTATGAACTCACTAACATTTTCAAGTAAAACACAGGTCATTTGGACCTGTGTATCATTCATTTCTAAATTATATTGAATGTATTTTGCTTCACAGCTGAGTCAGGGCATGAGTGCTCCTCAATTCCTGCTTCGATAGCAGAGAGGTACAAAGTAGGAAGGACATTAGGGGATGGGAACTTTGCCGTGGTCCGAGAATGTATAGAGAGACCTACTGGAAGAGAATATGCTCTCAAAATCATCAGCAAAGAAAAATGCAGGGGAAAGGTAGACATGCTTCTATTTTTCTCTTTTTTTCAGTGGATTATCACATCAACATTTAGACCTTTATCAGATGTATAGACTTTTGAGTGTTTATTAAATGGATCAAATGAACTTATTCCATTAAAATAATTTTATTAATGTATTTTTATCATTGTCGTTATCCCCCAGGAGCACATGATACAGAGTGAAGTGGCCATTCTTCGGCGTGTGAAGCATCCAAATATAGTGCTTTTGATTGAGGAAATGGACACCCACAATGAACTCTATCTTGTGATGGAACTGGTTAAGGTAGTGTAAACAGAATCTGCTTTGTGCACAAAATGTCTTATTAATATATATAATCTTTTATTTTCAAGAACTACAAAAAAAAAAAGATTTCTCACACTGTTTTTTTATTTTTAATGAATGAAACATCCTTTGTCTTTCTTGACCATATTTGATTGTACTTGAGTGTTTATGTAAAAATTGCCTAATCTCATGCCTTTGCTGTCTCTCTCAGCTGTCTCTGACCAAATCCTGGCTACTTTTTTTCTACAGGGTGGAGATCTTTTTGATGCCATTACCTCTTCCAAGAAATACACTGAGCGGGATGCCAGCTGTATGTTGTTCAACCTGGCTAGTGCTATCAAGTACCTTCACAGCCTCAATATCGTCCATAGGGACATAAAACCTGAAAATCTTTTGGTAAGTGTGATTCTACAATGGTACTCTGGCTATAAACGTAGTGAATACATTTACCATCTCTAAAACCTGCATTTCAATAACTACAAAATTCAGTTGATGTTTTGAGATATGTCAGTTGTGCACATTGACTCATCCGATATCAAACTATGATGAAGAGAGACCTACCTTTTCTTGGATACAGTTGAAAGCAGTAATGAATCCTTTAGTGTGCTGGCTAGTATGCAGAAAATATCAGATTTTTGGAACACTGTCTCTTGGATACAGTCAACCAGTTTGAAAAAATATAACTACTAATTACTTTTTTAACCTGCAGTTTTTTTTCAAATTAAAATATGCAAAGAGCATTTGTATGATATAATATGGTCATACAATGGCATATGGTCTAAATGTCAAATTTGAAGAGCTTTAGTCTTTTCAGTAAATGAATAACAAACAAATAAGATCCATTTTGCCATGTTTATCATCTCATAACAGACAAATTTGCAAAATTCTGTTGAAATTGGGATTTCTTTTCTCAATTTAATTTAGTAATTTGTTTCTATTGTTCTCACAGGTGTATGAGCATCATGATGGTAGTCGGTCTCTAAAGCTTGGAGATTTTGGCTTGGCGACTGTCGTCAATGGTCCTCTTTATGCTGTGTGTGGCACGCCTACCTATGTTGCACCAGAGATTGTTGCTGAAACAGGGTAAGGCATACAGTATTATTAGTAGAAAAGTGAAAAGGTTCATGTAAATCTTGTGGGAACGTAGGTACTTTAACATGTCTCAGAGGTGTCTGACATCTGAGGCTGCTTTTCTAATTGCAGATATGACCTCAAGGTTGACATTTGGGCAGCTGGTGTCATCACTTACATTCTCCTGTGTGGCTTTCCACCTTTCCGTGGGTATGTGCTTCTGCGGGATATTTGTTTTGCTTGTCTTTAGATTTATTGTAATTGTGTAATTACTATACTGATGTAATTACATCATTAACTGTTTAGCATAGCCTACTGATTTTTTTTCTTTCTTAAATATTGTAATATGTACAGACAGGGAGATGACTGGGATGCTCTCTTTGAAGAAATTCTGAGGGGCCAGCTTGATTTTCCATCAGCATACTGGGACAATGTGTCAGACTCTGCTAAGGTCTGTGTCTGAACCTCATCTGCCATGATCTTTTTGTTTTTATAAGTCTGTGGTGTTACAAACTGTATTGTTGTACATGTTAGTGATGGAAAATGCATCCATTTCTAGGTTCTGATCACGGGGATGTTGCAGGTAGAGGTGGGTCAGAGATACACTGCTATACAGGTCCTTGATCACCCCTGGGTCAATGTAAGTTCAATAGTTCTCCAAAATGATACAGTATGCATACACCTGCTTGGAGAAAGAATGTGAAGCTTTGATACCACACAAGAAACTGCTGAAGTACTGCTGTGTTTATGCCAAAGGGTGATGGTGTGCTAGAGACGGAGCACCAGCTTCCTGTTGCTGGGAAAATAAAGAAGCATTTCAACACTGGCCCCAAGCTCAACAGCACTACAGCAGGAGTGTCGATCATTACTGTAAGTACAGATCTGAACTCCTGCACATACTGACCGTGCATTTTGCTTCAGATATTTTTTGTAATTCTTTAATCATCATACCTTGCATTAGTGCTTTTTCTCGTTAGTCTGTTTTTAATCATAATGTTCATCTCAAAGCTGCAGCTTAACAATTCCTTTGCTGAATTTGCTCCATTACAGTTTGTATGCTAGTTTTAAGTAGACTGGTATCATTTGCTTTTCTTAAATATTTTTAAGAAAAAAAATGGTGTGTGTATGTATGTATGTATGTAAGTATGTATGTGTGTGTGTAAACATATACATATTCATTTTTTAAGAAAACACTGTCCACATAGAAATGGGTTTATTCATCCTCATGTTTCTGTGTTTGCTCTTATGGCACATCTATTTTAACTTGACTGCCAGCACTGGTTTACACATAACATGGATGCACTGTTATATGTGTCTGTGTGTGTTTTTAAAGGTTTTAACTTGAATCACTTCAAAGCTTAGCTTATAATGAACTGCTCATTGTTTAGGTGAGATCGGCTGCATTTTGCAGATACTGTAACATTTTTATCTTGTTCAACCCACGGCATTAAGTGTAATTAGCCAAATAGTTCTGCTTTTTCACAAATGTGAGTAGGCAGTGGTAAAGCAGCTCTAATAAGACTGTAGAATTGTGCATCACACTGAAACAAGTCAGAGGAAGTCCTTGAACTCAAAGCATCCCTGAGTCTCAGTCATCTCCCTCTGCTCTGCTGGACCAGGAATTTACCGTCCAGAAGTCAGGGTCTTTGGAACACTACCAGCTTCCAGGATTGTACTGGATAAGGTATGACACAGCATAGTGCTAAAGTGCAGAAAGTGCTTCCATGGCAAAGTGCTGGCAGTCTCCATTTCCCAACCCTTAAGGGTCTGACCCATTGCCCATCAGTGGAGTCATTTTCATGCCTCATCATTTTATCACATTACTTCATCTTACAGGTGCTGTGGCTGTTTCTTCTCAGCTGCTTTTGATTTTGAGGCATTGAAAATGTATTTTAGAAATGCAGATTGGATTAAAGGATTATTGACTTAGTTTCTTTTTTTTTGTAAGAACAATACTGACAGATCTCATGGCTTTCTGTTGCTGTCTGTTGCTCATATAAGAAAACTGTAAAACACAATTAGTACATGCTGCCCCTCATCTTCTCTCTTGAGGAGAACTTAAAGTCTGCTGTTATGTCATCCCCTCTCAGACCACGCCACTTGATAAAGAGAAGCAAGTTTTCCGACGAAGACGCAACCAGGATGTAAAAGCTCCCAGCTCTCCACACAGTACTGGTCTCAGTACCTCCTTTGGTGCCATCCCTGTACTCTCCCCTGGTTTGACCTCTGAGTCTGAAGACTATTCTCCAGGTTCAGCCGACACTGTCCGCTCACCCATCTCCCCGTTGTAACAGATTTTCTGAGATTGCAGCACTGTTCCATGTTGTGTGGAAAAAGTGAGGAAATTTGGAATGTAAAAACGGGGGAAAAAATCCAGAATGGGTACAGTCACTGCCTAATTCTGTGTACTTATTTAATTTCCTACAGTCACATAGTCATTACATTACAAAATGCATAATTCAGATTTGAGGATGACTCTCAGATTTAAATAAGATAGTAGCATGCAAACATTTTAAGGTGGTATAGTATGTATTTCCAAGTTTCTTTATAGTGCTTTTTTTTTTAAATTTCACATGTTTTGAAATCGATTTGAAGTATGTATTTAGACTTTTTATACTGTCCCTCAAAATAGTTTTGGCATGAGTTTTCAAGTTATTTGATATTTGCTAGTCTTGGAGCTATGGAAATTAAGAGATTCGATCTACTTGGCATTAACAATACACATTGAGATCAAACAAGTGTTCAATCCGTGTTTAATGATAGTAAAATGACAAAAGGAGGGAGTTAAGATTTAGAACACTGACAATATGTGACTTGGACCTCTGTAATGGTCTTCGAATGAAAGCCCTTATGACCTTTTGTCTTACATTTTCTTCTCTCCAAATATACACAAATCATTAAAGGCCTATTCTTTCTTGGCAGTAGCTTACTGCAGTACTCTAGAGCCCCCTAATGTTTGGTCTTATGTGGTGCAGGACCGACCACATGTGTTGCTGTTCAGTACATATACATTTTAGCTTATTAATAATATTGATTATATTACTTCAGGCTAAAATGTTTAACACTTTATTCAGTATACACTAACAGTTTTCATGTACAGTGGGACAACCTATCAGGCTTGTTCAGTGGGATTAATGGTTGTGGTAAATAAATCTTGAACATATTTGAAATGGCATAAGTATTTCAAAGAAATGCTACTATAGTGTACCACAAACACGTTTCGGACTGTACTGATATTTTGAGTAGGCTGTCCTTCAAGTGGCTTGCCTCTTTAAAATGACAACACTTATGTTTGACAGTTGACCTGTGTGGTGAGGGATGATTATCTATGACCGATTTAGTTAAATGTCTGTGAGAGTGACTAATGTTGGTGGCACAGATGAATGTTTGTGTCATGTAGTAGGTAGTAAGTGCATGTTTAAGGTGTTACCTTGGCACATATGCATTTAAGTGCAATTAGGTGTCCTGTCTAATGAGCACAGTATCAGTTTTGTCTCAATATTCGCACCACGACCAGTCAGGTGTTGCCACTATAGCTGGCAGCCAGAAAAACGATCACACTGGGCCAACTGGTGCAACAAGGATTATCTTCAGACTGAAATAAGGAGTTCAATGTTAGAATACTTGCAGTGCTTCCAGTAAAATGTCTTTTCCATCGGTCAGATTTTTTTTTCTCCTGAAAATAGTCTGCAGTGCGTGTCTCCTACCTATCAAGACATTGTTATCCAACTCAATATTCAAAGATGTAAATTTCCTCCTCATTGCTCAGAGACTATAACTTGCACGTGTACTAATATACATACCAGTCAGACATTTTGGTGATCTTGAAAAAACACACTTTTTTCCCCCCCCAAAATTTAAATGATTTGATATGGCATGATGTCAAATGTGAACATTGTCCATGGTCATACCTGAGGAATTGAGGTTTGAATGTATATTAACAGCTATTTAACTTTTCATTATTGACTGTTATTTTTACTTTGTTTTTTTAAGGGCTGTCTGTTTTTTGTAGATGGAAATTAACCAAAAAGCACAAGGAAATCCAGATGTGGTTGATGACAATTGGGGAATGTTTTTCACTGTATGTGATAACTGAAAAAGTGATAAGGTATGGTTGGAGCTGAACGTATTGAACTGGTAGACTGGAATGCAAGTATTTTATGTTTATGCATTTAGCAGACACTTCCAAAGCGACTTACAAAGTAGGGGGCCGCCGAGAGTTAAACTGAGGACCTCTAGATTTGCAGTCAAATGCTCTACCACTGAGTTTTGTTGAAACTGATTAATTTGAGTGCTTTTTTCTTCACCCTGACTCTTTAAAGATGCAATGAAATAACCCAAAATAAACTTGTTATAAAGAAATGTACAATTTCAACTTGTACTCAAAGATCAGGAACCCAAAGAGAGCACTTACAAGCTCATTGAAAAAGGTTTGCATTGGTTCATTCTGACATTTAGCCAGCAGATGGCAGTGTGACTAAATGGCACAAATCAAAATGTTGCTTTCAGTGATGAGTATTTCATGGATTTAGAGCACTTTTACCACCTTGACAGTTCTTTTCCAATACTGGATTTAAACAAGCTTTGAATTTACTCATCTTTATTGAAAATTAAATCTATTTTTTTCCTTCATGAATTTAAACTTCAAAAATCCTGTTTAGACCAATTGTATGCAAAACGGTTGTCTGAATCAAAACATGTGAAATCTAAAAGCCATAGTCAGACTTAAATTTGCAGACAGCAAAGTTAACCCCCTTCCTTAGGAATCTTTTAGCATGCAAACTGTCAGCTTTGGAAAGGGTGTGTATGTAGCACCTGGAATAAATAAAAAATAAAGACATCCATTTGCATATTTTTATTTGTCTGGATCGACAGCTCATTGTAACCCTTTGATTTGTTAGCTTTGCTTGTGATCTAAAAAACTACTCTATATTTAGAGTAGTTATTTTTTTCCTGTTCATCAATATAACATGGTGCCAGTGAACTCAAAACCTTCCTTAGACCTATTTTGAAACGCAGTCATAATATTGCTTATCAGAGTTTTGAGTGACAGCATCAGCGGCTGTTCACAAATTCGAAGTGATCAAGCTAACGGGGGGTGGGTGGGGGGGTAGTACAAGAATGCACTTATGTTTGAAGTTCCATCAATTACATGTCTTTAAAAGGACACTCCGTGGAGTTTTCAACAACTTTGCTACAAACACAGGAATAAATAGATATTTTTGGACATCGGATTTTAATCCTCGGGAGTAAAATGTATTCATAAACAGATGTTCCAGATACCCCACAATAGATTTGCTTTTATAGCAATGTTTCATTATTAAATACAATTTATTTAAATTAGTAATAAATATGGAAAAATCACTTAACATATGCTGACATATCAAAAACATTGATCACAAAAGACTAGACATACAATTTATCTTTTCACAAAAACACACTTGAACACTGAAACAATGGCCATGAACATCCTAACATAACTAACCAACTACTATCTCAATCCAGTGATGACAATGCCAACATTTATTCATGACTTGCATGATGGAAACATTGATAACATTGTGGTTTTTCTAACAGCATTTAGATATTTTTCAGCGTTAACAGGTAAGAAACATTTAAGAACAGCTGTTCTTACAGTTCAGTTTGTCTTATAAAAATGTTTTAATATTGACCATACAAATGTTGTATAAATGTCCCCAACAGAGAATCAATTCTGCTTTGCTATTTCACAGTTTGAAAATGAGCATTATTTAGATTTATTAACTGAACTACAAATGTGAACTCGGTTGCTCCACACTCAAAACAGACATCAGGTGCTCCAGTAAGACATGAAAACCATCAATGTGTGCAGATTGTTTAGCAGCAGATATAAAATATTTGTCTGGGGCCAGATGAAAATGTGGACACCCAATTCTTTGACATGCTGATGTTGTCCTAGTGACTAGATCCCCTGCATGCTCTTTGGATCCTCTGCAGCACAGTCACTGATAGGCAGATGTTCCTCTAATCCTCCCAAACAGCACCCCCCCTCCCCCAGGTGTTCATCTCTTTCTCCTTTCAGTACCTGTTTTGATGCTCAAAGTGCCATCGGTTGAAATCGATGTTAAATGCCACGATGCTGCCAGAAGCCATGCCTGTAATCAGAGTTCTGAAGAACAACACAAAGCACAAAAAGCAGATTACAAAGTTAAGAAAACAAACATTGGTTGCTTTGCCTGTGCTTTAAAGGCATGTGCACAATAGACCAATATGCATAATGTACTGTGTCCAAAGCTAAAAAAAAAAAATTTCACTGCATAGTGACAATTGGCTGATATCTTAAATGGTGAGTTGTGGGGAAGGGTGCATGAGGCCATCAGCAAATCATTTGTTTCCTCAGAAAACTAAAGCCACTGTGTTTCTGAAGCTCTTGACCATGGTGGCTGGCACGTATGAGAGCAGCTGATTTCACAGGATGGCCTTTTATTGCTACAGCCGGGGGGCTTAAATGCTGAAGCACAATGAACAGAGCTGATGTGAAATAGCCTTCTTTAAACAGGGTTACAGACCCCGGCTCACTGCTGCTACCTAATGTGAACCTAATGAGGGAAAAGGTTGCAGCTGAGTTGGATGGTTCTTAACAACTGAATTTCTTAAATAGTATTATAAAAATCAGTTTAAAGTGTGTTGTGTTTAATTATGCAATTTTTTCATACAAAAGTATGACTTAGAATTAAAATAGAACTGCCATGTTAAGTCATAATGATGCTGACTTCATTTGCTTAGGTAATAAGTATGTGTTCTTTTTTTGGATATGAGTAGTGCTGATGTTTAGCCTGTGGCTGTGAAGTTCAGCTTGAATATTCAAACGCTGTGACCTCTTGACTGCCAGGGTCACATGTTTATGACCGGCTCTCGTAGACCCAAAACGAACCAGTTCGCCTTTGAGATGCCATCCAGGCATCCCTTATGGGACTCCCAAACCAACCTTAGAAAATGCAACTTTGGAAAATGAGCTATTGACCAGCCAAAGAGATTCATGCACTGTGCATGTGTGCTCTTACATGAGATACCCAGTACATTTTCTATAATGCAGTTTCCCTTTCTGATGTACACACTAACAAACCATAAAACTCAACAAGCCAACAAAGGCTTTTCCCCAGAACTACATTTTGACATGAAGCATCAAATGTGTGTGTGTGCAAACACAAATGTGAGCCTATGCCTGGGTGACAATTGTGTATTCAATGCAGGAAATCAAAAAGCAACAATGAGATTACCTGAGTTCATCTCATCCACGCCTCGTATTAGGAAAGCTGTTTAACCCATGAAAACTTGAAGTGGCACTCTAGAAACTCTACACGTGCATGTTGTGAAAAAGCTTTGTGGGTCAAAGACCCCACTGACTGACTTAATGTAATTATTGTTTGGACGTGCATCAATTGAAAGTTGAGTGAGAAAAACGACCAGCTGGAATCTACCAGTTACTCTGGTCACTATCTTTACTGACCTTTGATCATGTGATAGGTCCATGGCTCGGATGCCTGCATCACAGCCTGGATAGATGTAGAGCCGTTTGAAGTCACAGGCCTGCCACACCTCCACCACTCCATTATCACCGCCGGTCACCAGGTTGTGTCCGTCACTGCTCAACAGAATGGCCTTGAAGAGGGATAGAGGGAATTTCAACAAATCCTCTCAAGTTGGAATAACTGTCCCATCTGCTGAAGGGTTTTTGTTATAACAGATTACAAAATGTTTAAAAATGAAACATGGTTTTCATTTAGATGACACTGGATTAGAAATGGATCAGAAAAGACTAATTTGAGACTTAAAGATTAGATATGCCAATGCACTAGTAATGGCCATGAATGAGTGGTTCTTCTAATGAAAACTGGATATTGTATCAAAAATGTTCCTAAGAAAATGTTAAACTTCCAGCTAGCCTCTCTGACTATCTATAAAAGATAAAGTCTATAAAGGATGATCGGTCAAACAAATTCATGAATGATAGATCTAATTGGTAAAAGGCAAGAAAGGTTGCACTATTCACTTTCTGTGGAGTGGACTGATGTCAAGAAATCACTTACCTTGATGGAATCATTGACTTCCATCTGTGCCAGCAGTTTTCCATTAATGCTGAAGTTGCAGAAACAGCCTCTCTCATAATAGATGATGCAGTGGCCCTCGCTGGACACTGTGATGAGCCGTGGGAACTGATAGTTGTCTGGTCCTTCCAGAGCCTGTAAAAGGTCTCCTGTAATGGTGTGAACCAGACATGGACCCTCTGCCAAACCAAAGCATAAGAGTTTGACCAACATGTGCTTACGTAGAAATAAATGATGAAAACTATGAAAAACTATAGTCTAGATCTGACAAAATGACAAGTAGTTTGTTTCCATAGATATATTTTTATTCATCCCTACATTTTAGTTTAAATAACTAGTTGAACATTTCTACTTTTCAGCCCATACAAAAGAGTACACTAACCTTTGGCTCCGCTAATGACGAGCCCCAGCTCTGCACAGACCGACACACAAACAACCTCCTGGTCATGACCGGTCAGAACTGCTCGTGGTGCTGGATAGTCACCTACAGGACAACACACACAGACAAAAACATTTCATCTTAATTGATTAAAGCTTTTCTGCTATAATGAAAACATTACCCGCACAATCTGAACAGCATACTGACTGTAACAAACATGTGGCACAGCCAAATGTAATTTAAATACAAACAACTGACATTGTGACATTAATCAGTCAGCAGAAAAGTCCCTTTAAATTGTTATGTAAATGCAGGAATCCTGTAATGGCCACCAAGCCACTTGATTTCATCCCACATGTCACATGATTGATGATAGCTGAGAGAGGTTAGGAAAGGGTCTTTTATGACACCTGAAGCCCCTGACCTCAAGTCCTGACCACAACAGTAGTAAAAAATAATAATAATAATAAAGGTGTTAGTCTCTAACGTCAAACCATAACTGCAAAATTGATCAAACATTTCTATGGTTTACATTTTAGTCTGCAATCCTTAACTTGAAGTACGTATAGAAAATCGATAGTGGATGGATTTTGGTAAAACAAAAAAATACAGCCGTAGCTAGGTAGCAATTTGTTTAAAACTTAGCAAACTATCTCTGTTGGCTGTTGGTGTCCACGTGTGCTTAAAGTTCAGCCAATTTGGTGTATGGTTTGTCACCAATATGACGGCATTATCCTGAAAAATTATGGAGAAATGTGCTAGACCGTGCAACCATCATCATCATCATCCTAACATCTATGTGCTTGGCATGTGTCCAGTCTGCGGGCTGGACTGCAGTCAATGCATCACGGTCCCTCAGAGACTGGGCAGCCTGAGCCGGCGTGTCAGTCGCAGCGCCCGCAGCTGACAGGGGCCTGAATAGGACAAGTGTCAAAAAAACCTCCAGGGAGAAAAGGCAAGCTCACCTGCCCAACAAAAGCTACTATCCCCCTACATCCATCTTGTCCCCGCTTTGTGGTAAGCCCATGGGACGAGTGGGATTCAGCCACCATAATTAACCTGGTGCTGAACTGAATCTGAAAATCAAGCCACAATTGAGCTTGAAGTCCTTGTAATTATTACAGATTCGAGACACGTAAAGCCTTTTGGGGTGTGGGTGAAATCAATTTCCTGCTCAGACAACACCTGCAGTCTGATGAAGAATTACTCCAGTCGACCGCTGTTCCATATTCAACACAACCTTTCACCAGCAGATGCAGAAAATATCATCACAATTGGACTCCTGGAAGAGCTTACATTAAAAACTCTGTAAGAAAAAGAATAAAAATACTTTGTTGCTTTAATGTGAGTGCTTTCAGAAAGAAAATATGACTATGTTTATTGTCTTCCACCCAGTGTAGCCACTCTTTAATTATGTTGCTTCTTACTTTCTTCAGTCTCTCCTTTTGTCCACTGAAGAGTCATTGTGTAGTGTGAATATCAGGGGAATACCATTTTCCTGCTGCAGTAACACAAGTGCTGTTGCCCCTTGCTAATTGGAGGCATCCAAGCTGAAATTCTTAATTAACTGTCAAAGCCTCAGTGAAGTTAATTAGAGGACACTCGCAACTAATCCAAAGCTCCTAGAATCTTTGACAATTGGAAACACAAGATTTTCTCACATACACATGTTGTTTTGTTACCAAGAAATTAAATAAAAACTAACTTGCTTCCTTATTTTTGACTTTTTCCATTCCACACTATATATAGTGCTTCTAGTGTTGGACTATAACTGTAGAGGTGCTTTCCCAAACCCTAATAGACGATTCTGAACATAGATAAACTTTATTTAAGATAAACAACTAAATGAATGGAGCAGTGGAATGCAAAAACACAGATGCAGAGACATCTGGAGTCCCTTACTTGAAAGCAAGAGAGCTAAGTAGTATTAATCTAACTTATATATCACAGCTACAGTGCATTGATCCTCTCCCTGGCTCTGTTACCTGATTTGTTACAGAAATGAATTTTTAGTGCTGATCAGAATCTCTTGGTTCCTGCAAAGTTAATACTCAAAATCAATCCTGCATCTTTGTAATCTCACATTTCACTATGAGGTATGTATTTGATTGGTAAAATACTGAATACGGTTAAAATATTTCTGAAACCTTCACACACCGTTATTTGGGTTGTCGCCAATAATATGGTGCCGCCCACTCCAGTACCACAGCAGCAAGGTAGCATCCCGGGATCCAGAGACAATGTAGCAGTCCCCACCAATGTAAGACTCTGATCTGGCCAGACAAGTGACCACATCCCAGTGGCCAAAAACTATCTGGGTCAGCCTGCCTGAGGAGAATAAGGAGCATACACAACATCAGTCCAATTACTTTAACCAGCACACACACACGCCGACACACCACAATGAGAACACATTCTGATTTACTAAACAAGGAGTCTTGTTTTTTTAGCAGTTTTAAATGGGAACTCAAGAAGTAGAAATGGTAAAAATATACAGAAACATTAAAGGTTGTGCTAAAATCCTCCGTAATCATCCAGAAACCATTTGTGACATCCTGACCATCTGCATCAGAAGCAATTTTATATAACGACGCATTGTCTTGTTCTCGTTGCAATATAATCATTTGGGCAGTTAATTTATTTATTTCAGTGGATTACAGTATCTTTATCCATTTTCATGCTCACCGTTTCAGATGTTAGTTGCAACTGCACTGTATCATTACTGTCATAGTACTCAGTCCTCCACACATCAGCGCATACCTCAGCAGGAAATAGAGTTTACACTCTAACCTACCTGTCTCAGAGGAGTACACACGGAAGCTCTTGTCCCAGAAGCCGCACACCAGGATGTAGCGGTTGTCAGCTGTCACCACAAAACAGTGTGTGGTGATTTGGATGCTTTGGTCCACTAGGTCTGTGATCTGACGCTTGTTGCTTCCAGCATTGTTGGCTGGGGGGGGGGGGGGGGACAGAACAATACTTGAGGTGCAGTAAAAAAAACATCTGAAATAATGAATTATAGCTCCTACAACTGCATGTTGTCTTCCAACTGTGTTTTTCTTTCAAACTTTACTCACCAATCAGGGAATCCATTTCGATTGGTAGGTGATGAGCCTGTTCCAGAGAGTAACCTGGAGCGCCTCGTAGACCTGGATCCAGGTACACACATTGAGGCTTTAACCGGCCACTTCACCTCCAGTCAAAACCATCCATCCACGTTTTCCAGAAATTTTAGTTTAGATTCATGATTTGACGTTGTCAAACTTAGTTCATGCCTCTGAATAACCATCTACACTCAGTTTTGATAAAGCGACGCCCTTTAAAACGACATTTTAATATCCCCATTTAAAAAAAAAAGCAAGGCCACATTTCTCTCCTCTCCAACAGGCTGGTAGGGGCGCTGCAGCTGTGTTCATTAAGAGCAGCCACACACTGCGTGCTCTTTGGTTCGGAGCTCTATATATTTCTACTGTGACAGATGGAGATGTGTGAGGAAAATGTGGTGCAGTTGTGGCCTAATTTCCTAGTAACCATTGCTTTGGCCCTTTGACCCTGAGGTGAGGCTGATTCTCTGGGAGGGGTTCTGTGGATAATGTTGTTCACACATGTCTGAAAAGGAACATGTGGAAACACTCACGCTCAGCTTACCTGGGAGGTGCTAGTTGCTTTCATAGACAGCTGGCTACAGCTCTATCATGAACGGTGGGCAGGTTTTTAGTGACGGTGATGAGGCGATTTTACCACTGCTGTGGTAGGGACCATATGTGGTGAAGCCTACTCTTCTCCCAACGGAGTTCGTTGGAAAAAATCACCTCTTCTGTGAGTCTGGCAGCACTCACCAACAGTGTTGTGCCATCGATTGACGGCAAAGAGACGGCTGCAGGTGACGGTGACCACAGCAGGAACAGTGAGATGGGGCAGAGTGTTAGCAGCCACGTGGGTTACAGGCGAATTGGACGGAAACTTCAAAACCATGATGACATCCTGTTGCATCTGGTCCTTGAACATGAGAGGACTCTGTGGAAGTAAACACTGTTGAGTGGAAACGGGGAAAATACAAGGATACAAGGAAAAGGATAGAAGGTTATATCCAAATGGATGACCACAAATGAATGGGCATGGGAGGAGAGGACGGGGAAGGTATGACAGGATGAGAGAAAAAGATCAGTGAATGTTTTCTTAATAACACAGTGTTGTACGAGAGACACTGACAACTGAGATGTCTGCAGAAATTAAAAAGAGATGGTATATATAAATGCATACATATCAGAAATATAGAGTTTGTACACAAAATGAAGCACTGAGACACAATCAAACTTTTTTCTTTCTGAAAATGTGTTTATTCCCCAGTTATTTAGTAGAAACAACCAAAGCCAGAACTAAGTGGGCATGGGCATGTGCATATGAAAAGGGAAGTCTAAAATAATTCAGCAATAATAATAAATAGAAAAAAGGGTTCTCAGAAAGACATGCTTTTAAATTTCCTGTGTGGAAGGAAACTGGAATGGAGAGAGCCATGTGTGCCCAATGAGAATAAAGCTGGTTATTACATGGGCTGGAGAGGTGGAAACAGCACAGAGATGGACCTCTTAGGCCAGCAGGGAGCACTGTTCTCTTTAAACTTAGTTGCAAGCAGACCAGCTATAAAACAGTGAAGACTATTGGTACTGAAAATGGGATATTTTCACAGTCTTTAATCTACATGAGGTAAAACCTCTGAGATGTTTGACATTTATTAAAGTAAAAACGACTGGGTTGATAAAAAGCCACAAAAGTAAGAAATCAGGGACATATCTTTCTATCGTGTGTCTACCTTGAAACATATTCATCACAACACACCAGGGTCCACACATCCCTCCTTGCACACGCCACATCCAAAGGTGCAGAGAATTTTCCCAGCATGCACAGTGTTCTCACCAGGTGCATGGCGGAGCTGCGTGGAGGATGTGGCTCAATAAGCAACTGAGATGGCGTCTGTCCAAAGCTCTGGATCTGCGCCTCTGTGGCCTGCGGGAGAGAGAGAGAGAGAGAGAGAGAGAGAGAGAGA